TCCTCCGTATCTTTTACAGTTCGTAAAGTCTTGTGCAAATTCACAGGCATGTAGTGCATAATTAGACTGATAAATCTATTAAATCGTTTAAATTAGCAATTTACCTCTTCTTTTCTCAACCAATGGTTCAACGTAACTAGTTACTGGGAGATGTAAAGTTCTTTTTTCACTAGCTCATTTCGACACCACACGCCGGTATCATCGTCAGGGTAATGTTTTTCAGTAATTTTTTCATTGTAACTATATAATTTTCCGTTATTACGTTTCGTTATTACTTTATTTCTGCCGTGTAAGCTGAATCAGTGGTACTTTTTGTGAGTTTAAGGTCGTATGATTCATAATGTTGTTAAAAATCACTGGCGGCGCTAGACGGACTGTAAATAGCTGTTAAAGTACTAAGATTTTTGAATACTGCAAATAAAACAGTTTGACATTATGAATTTAGTTATTCTAAGTCAGCACATTCAAGAAACTGATTCCTCATTTTTTTCTCTGCTGCGAAGTTACTGAGACGTTTCTTCTGGCCTTGTTTTGGTCTGTGAGGAAATTTTAAACTTCTGCGGACTGTCACTTTGAATATGTTCACCTTGAACATCGTGAGGATGCCATCCACAGCTGTTAAATAGCGCAAAGATTCCAACGACTCTGAGTGTTTTATCAGCATGTAAGTTTCAGTGGTTCATGTACACTTCGTCAAGTACCACAGTGATCGAAATTCAGTGGGAATCCGATACTTATGGAGATAAATCGAACTATCGATATAAAGTACGTGCTTTCAAGAACCACTTGAAATATCGAAAACGGTTTTTTTGCCTGGTAGTTCCTTCTTAGTGCTTTGTCCTGCGTAACTGCTTTTTTAACGTCGTGCAGTTCGTTTTGTATATTTTACTCTGATGGTGACGCTGGTTTGCGGTGTCGAAATACGTTTCTGAATAGAAAATATTACGTTCCGTGAAGAGCCTGTTGCTCTGAACCATGAATCCAACAAAGAAGAGATATTGTTATTGTAGTTGCTATTTCAGCAGGCAGTGAATCAGTATCTCTCCCACATTCATTAAAATTCACTGCTTTAGTTTGCTTCATGTGCTGTCGTTTCGTTCTGTTGGGTGCATGATACGTTTGATGTTCAAATCTACTGCTTATATTCCGAGTGCAGTGAAGCCTCTCGTAACCGATGAGTAGCGGGACAGCGGAATGCTTTCATTAGAGGACTGGTGAGAAGTTGGAGAAATTATAGTTCGTAACGAGCGTAGACAGCTTCTTGAAGATCCTTGTAAACTCAACAGAGATGGAAATATAACATTAAGGGTATCTTAACAGGACCAGGAAGATTTGCATGTTTTCAAGCAGTAGTAGCCAATCCTGACAATAGCTGCGAAGCATATTAACTAAAAGAATTAGTTCTTTCGTTGCGTAAACTTAAACGTGGCAGTACTCTGGGGCCAGATAAACTACTCATGGAATGTCCATAGCCTGAAGAAACGCTTGCACTAGTCGCGTATTAAGATGTGGAACTTTGATGCTTGTTCTAGAAGAAAAGAAAAATTCACTGAGTTTTTGGGAAAAGAGGTCTGACACACAACAGTGATTATCGTTTATCTACGATGCTGTCATTTCCGGAATAAAGTATTTTCAGAGGTTATCTTCGAAAATATAGAAAGTACAGTAGAGTAAAGGTTCGGGCACAATCAAGCTTAAGAGTAGAAGATAGAAAGGTTTCAGAACAGAAGCAGATACAGGGACAAGAGAGGCAGAAATCGACACAAGCATGTTCAAAACGACAATTAAATGAAAACAAAAATAATTAAACGGGAGGAACGGTACATCAGGAAAATGAAAAATACTGTAGGTTAATTTCCATTAATTCAACATCTCTATTCCTTTCAATTTTGTTCGACCAGTAAAAAGTATTAAAGATTTCGAAATTCGTTACTTCTACATATGACAGGCCTAAGATGGTTTCTTATATCAGCCATTACTCAAGATCTCGATGTAATGGATGTTCAGACTCAGCAGAAACCTTACTACCCTATTGTTTATTTGCATCGTTTGTGATATCGCTGGCTTCTTATCAGCAAGCGTCACATGTGGCTGCAGAGGCATATATAAAAGGTGAATGCATGAAGTAGTAAATCTTGCAGTACTGTTGAGAAAGTTGGAATACCTTTTGGTTAACTCAAATTTATTTCGTAGATAGAATTTTATTTCGTAGATAGGAAACCACTTCTGAAAATCTCATGGCTATTTCGGCGACTTCTGCGTCCCGGTTGAAATATCTGCTCAAAATTAAACAAAGTTATTTCGGTGTTTTACGTCAGTTAATGTGGATTTTCATGAATGATTTTCTGACATTCACTTGCCTCTCGCGAATATGGTGCCTACCTTTGTGAGTGAACAGTACAATCAACAGATTTCTCTGCTTCGACGATCAGCGTCACCTGGGTTACGTTGCCCATTCACAAAATTCTGCGACCTTAATAACAAAATGGTGATGATGTAAGTCTGCGCAAAATAGCTAGAATCAGCATACCTCCTTATTTCACGCATTTTATTGCTGCCTTTATTCTGCGTTTGCTGGTGTAATGCGCCAGCTGTTTGCTGGAAACCACGGAGAGATTTCTACGCAACACCCCACCGTTGACGCCAAATGCAGATGTGGCAAGTTGTTTGTATAATTGCACAGCTTACGAATGATCATGGCGAGGAATTTACGCCGTAGATGCGCGGAATTGAATCGGATTGCTACGAGTCGATCTGTTATGAGCAATGCTCAAGTTTAAGGGAACTGAACAAACCATTTCGCAACCGGCAGCAAAGTGGGGAGGTGGAGGTAGCTATTGTGTATGCTGTTAGCTGCTTGTGGACGAAGGCGAATTGAATGCCTTCATCTTCATCTTCCATCGCCGCTTCTCCTTTCGGATCGCGGAGGCAGATGCGTCAGAGAGTGCTTCCAACGTTCCCGATCCTGTGCCAGAGTCTGAGCTTCGGCAAAAGACAAATGC